CGCGCGGCCCCCGTCCGCCGCTCACCCCGCCGCCGCTGACCGCGCCGATGCCGTCGAACTCCCGGCCCAGCCCGTCGGAGTCGTCGAGCACGTATGCGCCGCCGGGCGCCAGCAGCGTGCACAGCAGCAGGGCCTCCGCGGCGCGGACCGCCAAACCCGCGGCAGCCGTCATGACTTTCATTCGGCGTTGCCGGGAAGCCTTGAGCAGGCACTCAGCCATTGTGTGGGTCACATGACTCCGGTGCGTGGGGAGGGGAAGGCGGGGCCCGGTAGCCGCCATGATGGAGGCGGGCGCGATGCTGCTGACGCCGATGCCGCCATCTTGAGTGTGGGCGACAAGACGCTGGCGCATGTGCAGTAGTGTTGAGACGGGAAAGGCGAACATTTTTGTCTCTCCTGGTCTCACCTGCTGGGACGCTTTAGAGAAAGCGGGGTGAGTGAGTGTCCAAGACTTCCCGAGGGGAGAGCGATGAGTTGCCCTGCCATGGCCCCTCTCCAGCATCTCAGGGCACATCTGTCTCGTCCCAGTCGGTGGCAGGACAAGAAAAGGCCCAGGCTCGGAGCCCCTAACCAAGTCCCTGTTCAACTGTCACCCTGCTGGCATCACTTAGCTTCCTGAGTCTGAGTTTTCTCTTATGCAGGATGAGTTGAGAAGAGCAGAGGCATGGGAAACATACGATTAAATGAGATAAAAGTAAAACATAAGCACCCAAGTAAATCCTAGTTGAATGCATCAAACACTTGGCAAACGAGATTTGAAAAGCTTCATTCTGGTAATTACCGGTCTGTCCGTGGTTTTTAACCTGGATAGAGTTAAAGAATATGCCACCCCAAATACACTACTCTGGCGTATTGACTATTTTGAGGTAAAGGCACTTAAAAAAGAAAAAAATTGCAAGCACAAGATCACTCTGACCATTATTCTGTTTCTTAAAAGCAGGAGATGACATTTCCATGTGAAAGATGTCTTGCCTACAAAATAACATTATTATTATCAAGGAGGTAAAGTGGAAGTCCATGGAAAACTTTACAAACAAATGTACCCTTATCTTCCTGCTCATTTCTCTACCCAGTCGGCATCCCTAGTCCAAGCCCCTTACCACATTTCACAACTTAACTATTTTTTGTCCAATTTAGTATCCAAGCAATTGGCTCTGCTTCTTTGCGTCTTCATTTCCTATAAGGGCTCCTGTGCCATATAAAATTTCAACAGGTTTGTGTGCTTCTCTCTTGTTAATCTGTCTTAAGTGAATGTAATACTTGGGACCAGCCAAGACCCTAAGAAATGATGGAATTTTGCCTCCTCATACAGCCTATTCAATCTTCAACTGTCAGTTGAAATGATTCCAGACAGACATCCCAAATTAGTAGGAAAGTTATGAATTGCTCTGGAATTTCTACTACATCGATCACTGGCCTAGATTTGATAGTCCCTTGTTATTGGAGCAAATTAAAGAGATTCTTAGAGGCAGCAGAGAAAGCGTTTATGATCCGAAAATTTTCTTTCACCGAAGCATGGAATTGATTATCAGTACCTTCACAAGCCCCTGAGACAACAAAATGGCAAGAAGAAGACCCAGAGGTCACATGGGTCTGCAAAATTCTTTTTGGAATCTGATTATTTTGCCCCTTCACCACAAACCTACGTTTCAAGGCTGCAGTTATACTTGGAGGTCAAATCTCTAGGCAATCCCATAAACACCCTCCTCCGGCCCTCTGCTATCCCTAGGTTCTTAAAAACAGACTAGCTGTGCTTGTTCTTTCTCTCTTTTTTAAATTTAAACTTAAGTTTACTCTAGGCCTATCCTGGGACAGTCATCTCAACATAGTTATTCATAGTGCTCCTTTCACCCTCAAAACTGTTCTGGTTTGGAAAAGTTATACAGTTCCCTATGTGTGGCCCACTTATTTTCTTTAGTTTCTTCAGCACATATCTGAACTCTCTGCCTTCCCACCACCACCATGCTATAATACAAGTCAGTAATTATCCAGCTCTATACAAGGGGAACCCAAAAACCTTGGAATTATCTTTTGAGAGCAGGACTCTTTTAGTACAGGCTTCCCCCACTGGGTCAGTATTCTAGGAACCCATCGGCATCAGTGTACCAACTAACATTGTTGTGAGAGACTGCATTTGGCTTCAGTGGATTTTTTTCTCTTTTTTTGGATTCTTTCAACATGTTTGCCCATTTTATGATGGGTGAACGTACCCACTCACACTATGCTGAGATTTCAGCAGTTTTTAATCAAAAATGGCATGACTACCATGCCCCACCCTCCCTATTCACCTGATCCCACCCCTGGCTATTTGTTTGTTTGTTTGTTTCCATGATGGAAAACGTCATCAAAGGGAAATGTTTTGCTGATGTGGAAGAGGTGAAACAAAAACAGCAGAAGCACTAAAAGGCATCCAAATGGATGAGTTCAAAAACTGTTTGGAGCAATAGAAAAAGTGTCTCGATAGGTGCATTGCATCAAATGGAGAGTACTTTGAAGATGACTGAAGTTTAAGCATACAAGAATAAATATACAATTTTTTATAAATAAATTCTGAGTTTTGGGGGGTCCCCCTCATAGATTTCTTTGCAGACCTCATTCTGGTCCATTTGATCTCACATGATATCTTAAGCATGTGCTGAAGCACCAAGGGTGCAAACCAGGGTAACCACTCTATCAGTTGAATGTGAACCACCCTGAAATAGCATGTAAGGGGCACATCATAATAGGCCACATGGAAAATTCCAAGGTGATAACAGAGGAACATCCTATACACATGGAATTAGGGAGTGGAACCAACGCCTAGCATATGTTAATCTGTAGCACAGCACTGCACCTAATACTTGGAAGACATACCACAAATATGTGTGCGTTGTGTGACATCTGCAGAAGAGGGACCATAGACTCTAACAGAGAAGGTGGCCTCACCCCAGGAATTCCCACTAGTTCTTATTAGTTCAGATATCAAAGAAGCTGCTTACCAATAAAACATTTGCTGTCTCTAATTTCTGATCTATACCCAGAAGATCATTAAGCCAGAAAGTTTCTAATAAAAGGCCTATAAATACAAGCTGACAAAGTGATCTTTGTAGTACTAGGCACTGCACTCAAATTTGCTAAAGATGTGAGATCAAGGGAAATGGCAGTTATCAGACAAGTGATCATGTGCTTGACTTCCCTTGCATTTGTGGTTTCAGGGTCGGGGAGATAAACAGAGGGTCTCAGTTCTCAAATTTCAAATGAATTTTAAAAAGTAATGACAATTTTTCTATCTTTTTTTCTTTAATATGGAACACTTCAAGAATTTACCTGTCATTTCTTCACCACTATATAACGCATTCATGTAACCAAAAAAAAAGCCATTTGTACTTCTAAATCTATTGAAATTTTTAAAAAGGAATTTACATGTCATCCTTGTGCAGGGCCATACTAATCTTTTCTGTATCATTACAAATGTATGTGTTGCCAAAGTGAGTGTGACAGTTTTTCTTCTAAGTCGCAAGTGTTTCTGACTATGACAACTACACTTCAGCCACTACAAATCTCTCTTTTTTCTAAAATAAAAAATGTGATCAAAATCAGATGGTCTCTTGAGAAAGACAAGACATGTTATCTTTTATTGAAAAGTTACTGATACAATCTGACAGCAGTCTACTGTCTCATTTTTTTAAAAAAAGGCTTTACTTTGGAAAATCTGATAAGACTGTCAAAAACTCGAGGGCAGAGGCAAAGTCTTTTGTCTCGTTGTACTTTCCAAGTACAATGTTGAAACTGTGGTAAGTATTCACATATATTAGTTGAATTGCACTTTAAAAATTAAATGATCACACAAAAGGATACAATAAAAAATATTATTTACAAAAGGAATTGGAAACAATTCTTTTTTTTTTTTTTTTTTTTAAGTTAGAGTCTCACTCTGTCTCCCAGACTGGAGTGCAGTGGCCGCTCCCGGCCACCGCAGCCTCCACCTGCTGGGCTCCGGCGATCCTTCCGCTTCAGCCTTCCAAGAAACAATTCTTAAAGTAGGAGTCATCTAGGATAAGAAAGGGTAAAGTATTTTCTCTTCATGAACTATCTGGTAACATCTACTGTTTATCTATTCTCTCAGCTCCGGACATAAGTTTCTTGATTACAAGTGTTCATTGTATTGCCCTATTCAGTGACTTCTGTCTGTATACTTTAAGGGGTTGTGTTAACTCAAGCCTTTATATCAACAAAATGAAAATAGCTCAGAGGACGGAATTCACCTAATAAAATAAATTATATATTGTTAATTGAACATTTTCTTAAATATTACTACAAATAAAAGTGGTTGTCACGAAGATGAGTATAGTATAGTTGTTAGAATATTGCCCCTGAAGCCGGGCTGCTTGACCTCAGATCCACATACCACTTACTAGCTGTGGGATTTTGGCCAAGTTGCCTAACCTGTTCAGTTTATCCATCCATAAAGACAGCAATGGCAATGTGTTGACAGGAAGGTTAGACAAGTTATTGCTCGTACAGCACCTAGAAGAGTGACCATTACATACTATGTGTTATATGAGTGCTTTTTACAAGGGGGACCCCCAAAACCTGGAATTTATTTAAAAATTGTGTATTTCTGAAACAAAAGGCTAAAATACACCCATAGGAAAACACTAGAAATCATAAAGTTTACAGTCTTAATGAAACACTAACACAATAAAGTAAATAAATAAAGCAACCAGATGACAAGTATGATGAATAAAATAGTATGTCACATATCATTATTAATTCTGAACATAGTCTCAATACCCCACTAAAAAGATGTAGACTGGCAGAATCAATTAAAAAACACAACCCAAATATCTGCCACCTTCAAGAGAACCACGTAATTCACAGACTCCTACAGATTCAAGGTAAAGGTGTGGGGAAAAATATTCCCTGCAAATGGGAACCTTCCCTCCCCAAAATTGTGTATTTATTCTTACATGTTTAAGCTTCAGGCACCCTCAGAGTGCTCTTTGTTTGATGCAATTCACCTATCGAGATGCTTTTTCCACTGCTCCAAACAGTTTTTAACTCATCCGTTTTGATGCCTGTTAGTGCTTCTGCTGGTTTTATATTTCACACAAGCAAAGCATTTCCCTTTCAGGACTTTTTTCATCTGAGAAACAAACAAAAAGTCACTAGGGATGGGAGCAGGTGAATAGGGAGGGTGGGGCACGGGGTAATGCCAGTTTGGGTCAAAAAATGCTGAACACTAAGCAACGCAGTGTGGGCAGATACACTCATAAATTATCCATTATGAAATGGGCAAATGAGTTGAAAGAATCTCCAAAAAAAAATTCACTGAAGCCAAAC